AAAAAAAAAAATTCCCTTAGAAACCTGAAAAAAAAAAATCCTTAAGAATCTGTTGCCTGGAGTCATTGTGTTTCATTCTAGTGATCCACTGTCACTCAAAATCTGCTTCGAACTTCCTTCTAGCACAGCTTCAAAGCTGCAAATTATTTCTTAGGTGATTTTTTTCCCCGTTCATTGACTTGATTAATATTTTTGGGTTCTTTCTATGTTGGTCCTATAGGTAGAATCTGAAATATGACTTTAGAAATGACCAAAAGAAAAATCAAGACCAAGTTTTTATACAAGATTAGTGCCCCATGAAGCAATACAACCTTTAACGTGTATGTTTCTCTCTTGTGGCTAAAAAGATTCCTCAGGAAACTTCCCCAAAACATGATTAAAAATCAGACTACTGAAGAAACCCTGTCTTTGGTTGGATTCATAGTTAAATCTTCTTTTAATTTAATAGATCATAATATATCTTGCTTTATTCGTTATCTGGCTATTTGTGCATGTTAGCAAACTTGTCTGTGCCTGAGAGCTGTGACCAAATTTAGGAAGTTTGTAACCATTCTCTCTACAGTTACACTATGCCATCAGTATATCTCATGGCCCACGTCTGCTTCTCTCTCATTCTCCCTTGCGCAGATGCTGTTTCTCAGACACACTCACACATTTTCTAAGTTCCATTTAAGGCAACTCTACTGTAGATCAACTTTTCTTTCAGGGGTTGTGTGTGTTTCCTGGCTTTGGGAAAATGAGGAGATCGTGTGCGCGCACGCACAGCTGTATCACACCTTCAAAGCCTCTTGTTCCCGCTCCTCTTACAGCTGCTCGGCTGCCCTGTGCCGAAGCAGTCGGAAAAAGAAGCCTCTGTTACGGCAACACGCCACGGTAATGTACCCAGCTCACAGCGCCCCATTTCAAAAATTGTGTACCTAGGATTACAGCTGAAAACAGACACGTTCTCCCTGCTCCTGGCGTGAGTCCAAACATCGGAGCCGCCAGAGCATGCTTTTATGTTGAAACGTTACGCAATAAGCAGAGTGTGTGTGTCGGCTTCCACTCTTGCTGCAAGACGGAGGGAGACACGACTACAGGGGATAGAGGGGTGTGGTGAGGGCAGAAAGAGGAAGGGTCGGAGGAGGAGGATCGGGACCCTGGCGGCTGTCACCCAGCGAAAGGAAGAAAGAGGACACTTGGAGGGGATTTTAATCCTTCCCTGGGGCTCCAAACCCCCCCCCCCCGAAACCTGAGCAAACCACCACTTCTCAACAGGACCTTCAGAGCCTCACTGGGCGCTGTCTGAGCTGAACACATAGGGTTAATGCTTGGGACCCAAGGATCAGAAATGTCTAGATGAGAGTCTTCAGCACAGATTCTCTGCTTTCTCCTGAGTTTGATTTCAAGAACACATAACTGCAAGCTCTATTTGTTCTTGAATATTTTAAAAGATTATGAAAACTGAATTGTTAGGACTCCTTGCCGCCAACCAAATATGAAGGGAACAAAAACATATCTGACTTTCTCTTTAAAGACTGATGTGGGAGAGTGCTGCAGAAGACTACCGCTGATGCGAGTGTGTGTGAATCAGGCCCAACGCCCACCACTGCATTCACTCAGCCAGCCAGTGCTGAGTCTAGGCTTCTGGGCTAATCCAGGACTAAGCAGCCTTGCACTGCACCCTGTCTTTTTCTTCCCTTCTTTCTGACATTTAGAGTCTCAAGGGAGGGCTCGTTGTGGTAGCCTAGTGGCTGAAGTCCTCATCTAGCATGTACCAGGATCCCATATGGACACTAGTTCTAATCCTGGCAGCCCCGCTTCCCATCTGGTTCCCTGTTTGTGACCTGGGAAAGCAGTCGAGGACAACCCAGAACCTTGGGAGCCTGCACCCACGTGGGAGACCCAGAAGAGGCTACTGGTTTCTGGCTCTTGGCTTCAGATCGGCCTCTCTGTCTCTCCTCCTCTCTGTATATCTGACTTTCCAATAAAAATATATAAATCTAGAAAGAGAAAGAAAGAAAGAAAGAAAGAAAGAAAGAAAGAAAGAAAGAAAGAAAGAAAGAAAGAGAGAAAGGAAGGAAGGAAGGAAGAAAAGAAAGAAAGAAAGAAAGAAAGAAAGAAAGAAAGAAAGAAAGAAAGAAAGAAAGAAAGAAAGAAAGAAAGAAAGAAAGAAAGAAAGAAAGAAAGAAAGAAAGAAAAAGGGAAAAAGAAAATCCTCATGCAGAACAGTAATGGAAGACATCACAGAGCTGGGCATGGCTGCTGCTGTCCAGCCCGAACAGGGCGGGGAGAAAGGGTGTCCCTTGGGTCTCAGTTTTTCCCATCTATAAATTGAGAAGGATTAAGTCACCCTTAAGATTCCCTCCAGACTTTGACTTCTACTTTTCCAAGATCCTAGGGAACCTTTGTGTGTCCAGTGTGTGTAGACCGGTGCACATGAAGGAAGCACCGCATGGCATGGACACACACACTCCTCAGCCCCCTGCCCTGGACTATGGTTTTGAAATTTGCCGTTGCTTTCCTGAAGTATGCACTAGGTCAAACCCAGCAGATCTTCTTTAACATAGAATGTTTTTGCACAGCAGTGCAGTGGCTTTGGCTTTGGTGAAAGCCAGTCACGACGTGGGGGAGAGCTTTAGAGACAGGTACAAGCTCTGCTTTGCGCTGGGAACCAGGTTAGCCGCTGGGCGGGACTCCATTAGCCTAACAGAAAGAGCCTAAAAGCTACAAGATAAACGTTGTGCGTTTCCGGTAAAAAGATAAAGCTGGCTCCTTGGGACTGTGTGGGCCTCTCTCCCGCCCCCAGTGCTAGGGCCAGGCGCCGCCCTCAGGTGCGGTGTCCAGCCTCTGCACCCTGTCACCCCCTGGGAACCCCAAGACCCCAGCCAGACGCCTGTGCGCGCCACCCACCTACGCAGGAGCGCGCTGCCCTCTAGTGACCGACATGGAAGATGCAGAGTGGCCGCAGCTAGCCAAGGAGACTGCGGGTTCCCGCGACGGTTGAATGGTGGCAGGTCCTTTGAGGGGAGCCAGAAAATCCTAGTATTCTTTCCTTAAGCTCTGGAGCGGTTTGTGGTTTTCCACTGTTCCGAGGCAAGGTGGTGGGTGGGTGGATAGCTGATCACGATACAGATAAATATATAGATAATAAATAGGTAAGAGACAGATGAGAAAGAAGATACACAGAAAGATGTAGAGGATGATGATAGACTGATAAATAGATACAGATGGATGAAAGACGAAGACGGATAGGCAGATATAGATATTAGGTAATAGATATAGATCTTTGATAATGGATAGGCCTAAGAGGGCAGACACACGGAAAGGTGGATGGCTAGAAACACGATTCTGGGTACTTGCTGAATGACACAAAGCTAAGTGATTTCGTCGCTTATTTCATGGGATTGTCTCCGGAACACGGAAATATATTAACTGTCCCTATTTTCCAAATGGGACCACCGAGGCCTCAGAGAACGTAAGCAGCGTTCCTGTTCGCAATTCTTGGCAGAGCCAGGAAGTTGGAGCAGGGGCAGGCAGGGAGCCCCAGCCTTCACCGTCTGCTCTCCCCCACGTTCCTTCCTCCCACTCTGTGCGCAGGCTGGGCGCCTTGTCTCCAGCCCTGGCGCCCCGGGCACCGCGTCCCTCGCCTCCGCACTCCCGGCGCGCTGACATCACAGCCGCCAGGCACCTGCTGTTGCTCATCAGAGACCCTCCAGGGCTCAGGGAACTGACCGGCCACCGGTCCCTCCCGCCTACCCAAAGGGACCTCTTTCCAGATTCACTTCTTTAACCAAGGGTCACACTAACAGGAAAGGAGAAATGTCAAGATGCCCAGAAAGTTTCAAGCATGTATTTCTACAGCCACTACTAGCTGACACTGTTAGCTCCAACTGCAAAGAATTCGAGATCAAAATGGCTCACAGACGGCTCAGTGACGACACGGGGGACGGCTGTGGTTGGGAGGACCCCAAGGACCCACCACGGTGCCCCTGGAGGAGGTGCGAGTGGTCTCGGACCAGTCAATTCCCCGCTCCCATACGCCCCCACTTCGGAGCCGTCCCTGGAGCCTGCACCCCCACAATGCAATCTCTGTGACTTCTTGAGGGAAAACCTGACTTAGTCCCTCGCCACCATCTACCCCACCGACTTTCTGCCTGCCCCGGGCTCTTCCCGGGAGGCGAGATGACCTCCCCAGGAAGCACCACCCCCCTAACTCCCCGCACCCGGGCCGCAGCGGCGCGGGCCGACCCCTCCCGCCCGGGCGTCGGCGCGGGGCTGGCGTAGCGCCTGCGTCAGCTGCAGCCCGCCGGCGATTGGGGCACACTCGCCTCCTTCGGTTTGGGGCCAATTATAAAGTGACTCCAGCCTCGGCTGGCCCCGGGACAGCAAGGCAGGCGATCGGAGCCCCCGCAGCGCGGCCCGTGGCCCGCGACGGTGAGGCCCGGCCGCGCGGCACGCCCCAGCCCGCTTTCCCCCGACGCCTGCCCTGCTTACACCTGCCTTCTGTCTTCCTTCTAGAGTCGTGTCTGGAACCCGGTTTTCCCAACCCGCCGGCTCCATTCGAAGAGCGTCAGCGTAAGTGAGTTTGCCCAAAGGTCACCTTCGTGGCGTGGGTTTTGGGGGTGTCTACCTGCTTTGCTTTACTCCTCGTTTCCTTGCATGAGCTCCCCAACTTTTACTCTCATCCCGGCCAATGCCATGTCTGCCCGGGAGTACTCACTAGCCCTCCATCCCGTGCGGTGCTCACCAGAATCCGGCCACGGGTAGCGGACGCGCAGGAGAGCAGGTGCCCAGGGAACAGCCGTGCCACCCTGGGACCTAGGAGGTGGTTTGAGCCTTTCCCAGATCTCCCTACAAGGTCTTCTGGGTGGGGGTCGAGGGATCTGGAAGGAGCATCTCTGCGGGGGTCTTGCTCAACGACGCCCCCAGCCGGGGTTGTCGTGACAAGTGTTGCTTCCAAGGGACAGGTTCCGCGTTTGGACCGGCTGCGAGAGCGCGTCCTTCTCTCTCTTCAGTCCATGGCGCGGTTCCTGAGACTTTGCACTTGGCTGCTGGCTCTCAGCCCCGGGCTCCTGGCGACCGTAAGAGCAGAATGCAGCCAGGACTGCGCGACATGCAGCTACCGCCTGGTGCGCCCGGGGGACATCAACTTCCTGGTGAGTGTTAGCCGTCTGGACCGAGGGAATAAGTGGGTGCGACAGTCGACCAGCATCCCCGGACTGATCGCGCGGTGCGTATCGTCCTTACACGCTGTCTGAGCTGAGGCGGCGGGAACCGTTGATGGCTCTGCGCTGCTGCAAAACGTTGACCCGGGTCCCTCCGGGCTCTCAGTTTCCAGACCATCCAGAAACCGTTCGAGGCGGCAGTGCCCCCGCATCAAGTAGGTTTTGGTCCTGGGAGCTTCGGGAGCTCGAAAGGTGCTCTTTTACGCAGTTGGATTCTATTCAGACACCATTGGCAGCGACTCCCAACACAGCCAACCTGAGGGGCCCCCAACATGCAACCATCTTCCCTTGCCTTCTCTGAAACACTGGTTTTAAGTTTTATATTAGTAACATTTTCGTCTCTGTTCGGGAGATTGTATTTCTTTGGCTTGCTTAACCCAGGTTCAGTCGCAGCTTTACCTTCACCTGGGCATTAGAGTGGGCAAAGGGTAGGAACGCAGATAGGGGAGAGGAGGTGGAAGCCAGCTGCAGGGAGGAAACAGCAGTCGTACCTGCCCTACAGGCAAGTGAAGGCAGGGATGCAACTACTGTCTCCACTGCACTTCTGTGATAAGACTAAATTGCAATTAATCGAAGTGGGAGAAGGACACGCAGAGATAGCCAGCGTCCAAAAAGGCACCACAATCCAAAGCTCAAGTATAGTGCAAAGGACTCTGGAGTGCGAGGTGAGGACAAGGAACTCTGATTCTAGACCTGGTCCAGGGGCCCTTTGAGTCCTCCCTGCTGTGCCACTGAACCAGAACTGGAGACCTGGAAACCTTCCTTTTACCTAGCACCCTGGAAGATTGCTTTGCACTGCTGTTGATACTGTGTGACGACTTTAAAATTCAGTAGGGAGTAAGGGCATATTAATCCGAACTGACTGTGGCATTACTTGAACCTTTAAAAGCGTTTTGCATTGCCTAGCTGCTTGACATGGAGATGAAAAATGAAGGAAAGCCAGACTGCACCATCTCCAGTGCAGGTGAAATGTTTGATCCTCTGAATATAAGGGTCACTAGATCTGTTTCGGAATTTGATGTGCATTAACTTGGCCAAGCAGAGAAGGCACCTGGTAGAATTGTTTACTTAAACAGTGAGGAAAATGTTCCATCTTAGAAGAATCAACCCCCTCTACCCATCTTCTTTCTCATGTAGTCAGGAGCTCTCAAACCATGTCTAGAAATGGAGGGAGTACTTCCGCCATGCAGAGAAACCCTGGGTGGAAAGAATTCTATATATAGGAGGGAAGCGCTATACAGACCATGCAGATGATGCCTGGTGATATAATTGCCTCTGCCCGCTCCTGGACAAGCACGTGGCTCAGCCCGATACCAAGTGCCCTCTGTCATCTACATATAGTTATGTGGGCTCTAGTAAAATTTTTCAGTTTGCACCGTCTGGCGTCAAAGTGCTATCAGACTGATATTTGGTGATGCCTATTCTCATGCCTGTTATATACTCAATCTGCTTACTTCACCGTGTTCCCAAAATGCTGCCAATCTTCCTTTATGGTTGTGCTTGAGCAGAACACATTAGGCAGCAGTTAACCCTTCTTTGGGGGTGAATGAAATTATGTCTTCTCCCCCTCCTCCCATTGTCCCCTCATCATTTAAAAGGATAGTAGGGGTTAGTGTTGGGGAAATGCAAAGAAAAGTTAACGGCTCTTTGAAAATGTTTGTTATTGCTTTGATTTCAATACAGATGATAGCAGATATAGTATAGGCAACTTGCAAAGACATAAACAATAAGCAACCCTCAATTTTAAAAAATGATCTTCTAGCATTTTGAATAATGAATAATTTGTTCTGTGTTGGAACTACATTTGATGTTGTAATTTTCTCAATGAAAAAAGATTTAGTTACAGACTATGTTGTTAGAATTACCGCAGCTCTGGAATTTTCACTTGGATGCAACAGACATAAGAGAAATGAGCTTGACTAGGAAAAACATTCTGTGTAAAAATCAATGTAACAGGTACTTATGGGGCTTTTACCATGGGAAAGACACCTGAGCTTGATACTGTAACGGACGCAGAAATGAGCAGGCATGCCATGACTTGCATCCAAATTGGATTTTCCACTTCTAGAATTTGGAGTACAGTAAACACCACATAAGAGAAGACATGCAGAAGGATGTAGAGGCCATACAAAAAAAATCCCTGATTTCGTTTGAGTGTGTGATTCCGATAGTCACAAATTGCTTCCGATGAAATTCCAAATCATAAGAAATTCAAAGCCTTGCTCACCATTCATGTTTGGCAACAAGATCATGTAAATATCCTTTTGGAATGGAAATATCCTTACCCCTTGAACATCTTAAGCTTTTTAATGATATTTGATTTCTTAATCAGATATTAGAACTAAAACAGGATCATTATAATTAGATAATCTTTTGCATACTTAGGCCTTTAATTTTCTTAGACAAAAAACTTAAATAACCATTCAGAGCTGGTTAAATGTCCTAGATATTTTGGTGTATGAATATAATGTTGTCTTTCATTGTGAAACTATGCATGAATTTAATATGAGCTAATATACCCAGATATTGTTAAATACCAGTAAAGAGACAGTTTTCTTCCTAATGCAAGGGTCAATAGCCTAGTTTCCATAAATGCATTTCAAAAATTTCTAAAATGCTGAGAAACAGCAAATAGAGTTTATAATTGTTCATATAATATTAGTACTTTTTCTAATATATTAGTCTGATCAAATAAATCTTAATATCACATTATTAGAATGCACTAAATCTTCCAGTGGTTTGAATCGTATTATGGCATAATCAAAAGGAAACAGCTTTGAGCTAATCATTGCTATGCTATCAAATAACAGGATTTTCTTTGGAAAAAATTATTTCAAGAAAATAGAGGAAAAATACAAAACTTTAATTTCATGAAAATCATTCTGATGGATCAAATACTTCATAAGATTTGAATTTTCAGAATTTCTCTGGTTTTTAAACTTGTTTGTATCATTTTTTTCTGATATTTGAACAGTTTTGCTAGAATTTTGACTTTCGATAACTTTCTTATAAATATTGACACAAGAAATCAAATTAATCCTGTTATTAATAATGATTCTACCTGTGAGACAAAGAAGATAGAAATTTGTGGAAATGTTCCAAATTAAATAGAAACTTCTGAGAAAACTTCTGACAATATGACATCAGCAGTAGGGTATTATCCCGTGAAAAGCGGCCTGTCCAAATTAAAACCAAGTGGGAAACAGCTTCTGAAATATGGAAATGGCACAGTATCTATGACATTTCTGATTGGATTCAATTCATCGCCTGGCTCCTCCTGCCCCCTTTCTGATTTTCATTGATTTCATTGTTCTTTTGCTGTACTCCGGGTGATGGAAAGGTTTAAGGAGACAGTGGAGATGAGCTGATTTTCTGGAAGTCAAAGAGAATCGGGTACCCTCAGCACTACCCCCCATACACACACACATACACAATTTGGCTAAAAGAAACCCAGAGCAATTTTTTTTCCCTCACTTGTTTCCCCCAGGCTTGCACGCTGGAGTGTGAAGGGCAGCTGCCTTCTCTCAAAATCTGGGAAACTTGCAAGGATCTACTGCAGACCACCCAGCCCGAGCTTCCCCAGGAGGGAGCCAGCCGACAGGACGACGGCCACTGGCTGGCCAAGAAGTATGGAGGCTTCATGAAGAGGTATGGGGGCTTCATGAAGAAAACAGATGAGCTTTATCCCTTGGAGCCAGAAGGCGAGACCAACACAGGCGAGATGCTGGGCAAGCGGTATGGGGGCTTCATGAAGAAGGATGCGGACGAGGAGGAGACCCTGGCCAATTCCTCAAACCTCCTGAAGGAGCTGCTGGCCACGGGCGACAGCCGCGACGGTGGCCACCAGCACGAGGGTGGTGACCGCGAAGAAGAGGTGAGCAAGAGGTATGGTGGCTTCATGCGGGGCGTGAAGAGAAGCCCTGCAGTGGAAGACGAGGCCAAGGAGCTGCAGAAGCGTTATGGCGGTTTCATGCGCAGGGTGGGCCGCCCCGAGTGGTGGCTGGACTATCAGAAGCGCTACGGGGGCTTCCTCAAGCGCTTCGCCGAGGCCCTGCCCTCGGACGAAGAAGGTGAGGCTTATTCCAAAGAGGTCCCCGAGATGGAAAAGCGATACGGAGGGTTCATGCGATTTTAACACCCTTTTCCTGTAGGTGACCCCAGCCCCTTCCCATCCTCACTCCTACCCGTACCCCAGCTCCCCCCTTCCCGCCTGGGAAGCTGCCTCGTGGATCTTGTGGTGTTATCATGTGTTGCTTGGTCCCTGTGTTTGCCTTGTCTGGCTACCTCTGCAGTCCGACCATTGACATTGGCCGTGCTGCCTTTGCCCCCAGGGTCTTCAAGCTCGGCTTTTGTCTTTCCCTCTCTTGTTTTTCCTGCCAAAATATTTTTGTTACTCTGTTCCTTGTTTTTTGAACAACCTCACTCAATGCTTCCTTGTATATAAACCTAATAAACTCGTTACCCCAACGGCATAACATTGGCGTGAGTCTCTTCCTCTGCAAGGTCCTCGCCCATCTTTGCATAGCCAGCCCTGGACTCAGAGACTGTAAACCCATCTGCTCTTGACAGCACAGCCACTGGCTTCCCTCTCTTCCTCCAGAGACTGTGAAAATATGTTGATTCCATTCCTCAGATGTAAAATCGTGGATAAACAGATCCTCTGGGCAGTTTCTGGAAATGAGATAAATGAACAAAAAGCAAAGCCCGTTTAGGGCACTAACAGTGCCCAGATGTTAAGGAAACCTGTGTTTGCATGACACCTACATGTATCTTTTCTTTAGCCAAGTACTTCAGAATATGATTTTTTAAGCGAACATACTGTTACCTTATTTTACCCATGAAGAAGATGTGGGTGGAACAAGGTTGCCCAGCATTTGAAGGGTGGACACAGGCTCTAAACCTCGTTTTTTCCCCTCTTACTCAATATCCTTTCTACTTCAGTCCGTTTATTTTCCACTCAGGTCACCAGCAAGAATTGAAGGAACTTAGGGCTGTATCTTGTTCACATGGTACACCCTTACACCGTGTCTGTGATAGATTTTCAGTATCTGATACGTGGATATATGAATGAATCATTCAGTGGGGTGAATGAATGAATTCGGTCACCGTAAAATCACAAAAGATATTGTGAATGTTCTGTAAAACAAATGCCCCAAACACAAGGCATTAATTTATGACTGTTTTATATTAAAAGTATTTGGAAAACATACAGATACAAGAAATGTAATATCTCTTTATTTCTATTTGAAACTACATGCAGCTCAATCCCTATCCAGTAAGTCCAGATTAATATAAATGGTCAGCACCAGCTTGGTCCTGATGGTTCTTCAAAAATAAAAGTTGGGCAAATGAACCAGGGAAGTGGAGAGTGCGTCTCTGTGAGCAGGCCGCAGCTTGTCCAGTCCTATGTGTTCTGCTCTGTGAGGCAGCTGCAGCGTCAGTAGTTCATACCTTCAGGACCCCGGACACCTGCATGGCCATGTTCCCTTAGAAGGTGCTTCTCCTGATCAGAGCAACTCATCACAGCACCTTATCCTCACAAAATACCCTCTCCTCTCAACCCACCCCAATAACTTCTAAACTGAATGCAAGCAATGGAAGTAAAGCAGGTGTGGGACAAGATGTTGAACAGCAACAGGCCCTAGGAAATCCATGTCAAAAGAAATGAGGACACATGGGGCTGTCAAGTCTGTTCAGCTTGAACCTGTTGTTTCTTTGCAAAAGCCAGCCCTGTGTCATCAGACTTTTCCAAAGAAAAATGAGATTTTTAAAGACAATATTTTAAGCATTTTTTTCTAATATAGACAGTTTATTCCGTTTAAAAACAGAATGAGTTGAACAAAATGTATCTTCAAGTTAGATTTAAGCTGTAGGATGAAGAATAGCTAGGCATTTGGGAGTCACTTTATTCTCCAAAAAAATACGGAATTCTAAACGTCTGACACAAAAAATCCAGCCTCCAGGATGAGCAGCTGATGGGAAGATACTGTTGTTCTTGACAAGGTAATAATACATTTTTCCTTATTATAAATTAACATAAATATGCATACTACAGTATGTTAGAAAATAATACAAGCACATATTTAGAGAGTATTTTTTTCCAGAATAAGCAGTTTTGCCTGTGTAGGAATTGTTTATTTCCTATTATATAGTGTCCCTGGAAACACTTGGGGCTGGTGACCATCATCCCCATCACACTTCAGCACTGTTCACCAGGCTGACAGCCCCTGATGGCACCGCTTGCCTGCATGGGACAGTGTCTCACCTTCTTGTAGTTCCACAGCTCCTCTTACCTGGTGCAAAATCAGGAACCCAAAGGGGGCTTCAAAATTGTGCAGGAGAGGAAGGAGCAGTGGATGCAAGGCGATGAGGAAGGAGGAAAGGGCAGGGAAATGTGATGTCTCCTTTGGCTCACATCAGGCCACACAGGTGCTTGCATCCAAACGACCCCTAACAGTAAGAAGGGGCAGCAGTCCATGAACAGTGACATGGTGCTCTGTAGTCTCCTTGCGTCCCCAAACATCTCTGTGCTGCTTGCCTTCAGTCAAAACCCACCAATAAAAGCTTGCCTCTGTTTTAAAACTTAATATTTCATTTATTATTTTTGAAATGACATTTTACATTTACAGTCTTAATATTCTAGTAAATAAAGCATTCAACTGATAGTTTTTTAAAAAGTGAAATCCTGCCTTTCTAACACTTCATAGCTTTAATGTTTTCAAAACTGTAGGATGGGACCGGCTGAGGACTGAATGAAGCTACACGCTGTCTGCAGAGGGCGCTGCTGTTCCATTCCTCTGTTCTCGTTAACTTCGGTTCCCCTTTGGCCTTGTTCTCTAGGGCCTTCCTGTGCAGCCTCCAAGCTCCAGTCCCCAACCAGGATGCTGCTGACAGCTAACACCTGTGAACTAGGGACCAGAAGCACTCCTTGCCATCCTATCTTCCCGCACATTTCTTCTGGTTGTGTAAATAGTGAGCATGTTAAGGTGCACTAAAAGTCTTTAAGCCGCAGCCAGCACTTGGAGGATTAGCTGCCACCATTTCTCTACCCCAACTTCCCCCAGCTGGATCTTGGGCTCTCCCCAGACTGTTGCAGGTCACCTTGGTCTTTTTTTTTTTTTTACTGTGAATCCCACCCAGGTCGTCAGGTAGGGCTATTTTCCTGTAAGTGCCTTCCCCAGACAGTACCCCTTACTACTCATTTTCACTTTCTCAACTTTCTAATAAATATCTATAGAACAATTGCAATCAAAGTCTAACCCACATTATACATCTGACCCAACTCATACACATCAGAACACCAATAGCGAGCCATAATGTGAAACAGAGGCTTGCATATATTAGGTAGACTGATCAACTGCACCATTCTATAAGGGATGTCACAGGTGGATGGGGTGTTGGCTGGCAGAAGGGGAATCCCTATACCTTCCAAACAAATTTGCTGTAAACCTTAAATTACTCTTTAAAAATGAAGTGTTTATGGCCGGCACGATAACACAACATGCTTCTCCTCTGCCTGGGCTTTGGCTATGTCCTAACCAAGTCCCCACTCTTGTGGGCATTTTGGAGTGAACCAACAAATGGAATCTTTCTCCCTCTCTCTCTCTCTTGCTTTATCCTTCACTTATATAAAAATTAAAATGCATAAATAAAGAGCATGTAGAATTTTAGTTTTGAGTTTCAATGATTGTTTCTTAGGAGAAGATGCAGGAGGGTTGTAAATCTTTGAATACATACGTTTTATGGGAGTTTGGTTCTTTTCCCCTGAGATGTACAGAAGCACCTTCTACCCCCCACCCCCTAAATCCTTTCATTTCAACCGCCGCATGAGTATCTGATGGAAGAGCATTATACATGGAGGGGAAGATGAGTTCAGTACCTTGAAATGAAAATGTTAAGGATTCCTGGAGGAGCAACCAGATCTGTGGGGTCTGGTATAGGCCATGATTAGGGTTTAGGGTTCTATTTTCAATGAAACAGAAAACCGTCTGAAGCTAAGAGCTTATAAAATTTTGATGTGCTTCAACTTTTCTATCTGCCATGCAGAGCAAGTTCTCTCTCCTCATCCTACTGAAGACAGAGCACATTACACACCTGCCATCACTTTGCAACTATCAAGACATCTGCACTCACCTGAAAATAAAAGTTATGTGAAATTTGTAGTGTTTTATAATTAAGTGACATGAATAGAGTTCCTTTAATAATTTGTACACCAAGAATCAAAACTTATACCCCATTGCCTTGAAAAATGAACATAAGTAAGACAAAACACACACTTCTTATGTTCTTGGCTGGGAAAGCATGTCTCTGCAGGGAAACTGTGTGACAGTTCCACCCTGAGAGGGAGCCTGGCAATGATACTCCCATGTTGATGTGTGCTCTGAGCATGCCATTTTCCTCCTTGCTTTCTTTATCAAGCACAACATACACACAGAGAATTTCATACCTCATAAGTGTGTATCTCAAAGGCTTGTTGCAGACCAAGCTGAGTCTTGAACCAGCAGGCAGAAATAGAGTAGCATCAGCACATCAGAAGTCCCCTACACTCCCTCCCAGTTAGTTTTTCTCTGCTCTTATACCTTTCTGAGATAACAACTCTTGTGACTCACAAAGCCACTGATTTATTTCCTTATTTTTAAATTTCACATAAATAGAAACATATTTTTAAAATATCTGTTTGGCTCTACATTTTATTTGTTGGGTTCATCCATATTTGTGTAGGTAAAATGCAGTTTATCATTTTATTGCCATATGGTATACCCATTGTATAGAAATACAATCATTGGGAGGCACGTGGGAAATTACTCCAAATACAAACAAGCCTAATGTCTCATAATGGAGACAACTGTAAAGTTAAATCATCCTGTGCATGTGAAAGTATGAAGCAGAAGATTTTGGTGTCAACTTCTTTCATCAATAAATAATCTGATAAAATAACCTGTTACTAAGCCATGTTTGATTGTCTAAGGCATCTTCTCAGATTGCAGCATAGATTAGTAATGGCTACTACAGTAAATGAAAGACGCAGAAGCTTTCAACACAGAACCACCAAGCTACAAAAGCAGTCAGAAATGGTCTGTACAATAAGACTTCTTTGATTTGTAGCCTGTGAGACTTTCTAAAACATCAGTAGATGAAAAATTGCCAAGTCCCATCGTCTACTATGCCTGAATGGCATCAAATTATACAGCATCTGAATTTTATATGACTGACTACATATCATTCAGGATCTTTCTAGATACTCTAGCAAGGGCAAAAAGTCAAAAGATTTTATCAGCATTTATTTATAATATTATTTTATCACGTTCTGGCAAGCCTGTGTCCATACAAAGAATTTTACAGAAATTTCCATGACAACTTTCATTTGCAAGACTTTCACACTAAAATCAGTGATAATAGTAATAATAATAATAATAATAATAGCAGCAAAAGAATGGAGGAGCAGTCAATGGGTCATCAAATGAGA